ATGCCTCCAAAATTCAGCCCGGGAGGACTCAGGCAAAGGAGTGAAGGTGTTCCCGCTCCCTCCCCACCTCGCCCGTAACAAGATAGAGCAGTGTGCACTCGCCCAAAGTCACGTAGAAAAGAAGGGCTTTGGTACGAGTTTTATATTAAAATGGAGTAGGGGACTAATTTAATTCTTATTTTGAAAACTTGTGATGTAAGACACCCCTTCGGGAAATAGCAATAAGATAATGCTTTCTTACGACTCCTTGACTAATTTTGCAACACTTCCAATTTTGTTCTGTGCGCCCGCTGTCTTTGGCTGATTTTGCCCCCGGGAGCAAAGAATGGCGCGTACATTCCTAAGAGGGCAAGGGGAGGGGGTGGTGATGGTTAAGGGAGAAGTTGGCTCTGGGTATAACTATGCCAACTGTTGGAGGCAGGCAAAGGGAGGGTGGTCTTTTACGCGGGTTTGGGATCTGGTTACCTTTAATTCGCCCCAGAGGCCGTGTCTTGCACTAATGGGAGTCTGTCAACGGAGAGCTCAGATTTCCCCACTTGCCTGAATAGTGGAAGCAAAGGGGCAAACAGCAAAGTAGAAGAGCAATAGGCCAGGCCTCTGGAGCTGGGGGTGCGAGCTCAGGCTGGGTGGTCACCGCAGCCTTCTCCGCGGGCCCGGGGCGTGGTCGAGCAACTGAGGACTGTGAGGAGACTCCACATTTTAAAACTCGACTTCGGACCAGCCTCTTCTGCTCCATCCTTTCACAAGGCAGGGGGCTGAAATAGGTCCTACGACCTCTTTAGGAAAACCTGCTTTTCACACCTAAAATCGAATTGTTCAGAACCAAGCCAGTTGCTGCAGGTAGTTGAACAGAGTTGTTTCTCTGTCCAGAAGCCATGAAAGCAAAAACAAAAATCTCCTTACGTGGTCTTAGCTCTTAATAGTTTATTTAAAAAACAACAACAGATTCCACTAACACCAACTTACCTGCTAATTCTGCAAGCCCAAGCAGCAAGCAGACTCCTCGTTCTCATTGTAGAGGCAAGGACATGAAGAGACTCAAAGAACCCCAGCATTTTGTGTCCAAGGTCACAGTCAGGAAATGCCTAATCCCTGCTCAGGACCCTCTCTGCAAGGCCTCTTTGATTCCGCAGCTTCCTGTCCCCTCCCATGAAAGACACACACACACACACTCTCTCTCTCTCTCTCTCTCTCTCTCTCTCTGTCTCTCTCTCTCTCTCCCCCCTCCATGACCGGGCCTGGGCACTCTGAGAATGCCTTTCCAACCTTCTCACTCACCCCCAGCCAGGAGGAGTCCACTCACTAGTTTACGCTGCAGTTTGCCACCATACAGTGGCATGCAGTTTGTCACAGATACAGGTGGGGTCTGAGGGGCACATGGTTCTGGAGCTGGCTTTCTTTCAGATTACATTGTCCTCAGGACAGTTCTTCCAGAAACCCACGTTAAAACGAACCCCCCCAACACACACACACACACACACACACACACACACACCGGCCTTTCCTGTTCACCTACTGCCAAGACTCTTCTTAAGAGCCAAGGAAAATATCCTCAAATATAACTCTTAATTGCTTCCAAGTCGATGTTTCCTCATCACTAAACTTTATTGCTTCCCAATCTTTAAGACAAACTCCGGTCGTGACTCTGTCCCCTGCAGGCCAAGCAAAGCAGCTTCTTGAGATTTGGTCCATGTGTCCCAAGCCTGGAGGATGAGCAAGGGTGTCGGCGGGATCCGAGTCTGAGAGGCCTGCGAGGGCTGAGGCTGGATCCTGGGAGACAAATGGGGAAGTTTTCATCTGCTCGTCGCCCCCTACAGGCCACATATGTCATTGCAGCGAGAGCCCTTAGTGACCCATGCATGCATTCTGCTTGTTCGCATTTTCTTGGATCTCGGGATCCACTCTCCATTCCCCGAGGGACTGCGTGCGGGACTGCGTCCCCACTCAGGGATTCCACTCTGGGATGCTCTAAGGATCACAGGCCTCGGAACTAGATTGACTTTCTAGAAATAAGTGTCGGAGGAAGTGAAACTAGTTTAAATTTGTGTGTAGCCAAAAGCTAAAATCCTCCCCTTAAAAAAAAAAAAAAGGAATTAATCCGCTTCCTCCTTTTGTTATAAATAAACCTGCCTAAGTGGAATAAAAAGCGGGTGTCAATCGTGCCGCTTTTAAATCTCAATGTAAGAGAGGATTTCAGTGTCTTTTGTCGCTGGTGCCTGCAAACCGTCATATCAAATGTGAGTTTCAATCCCTCCCCCACCCAGTGCTAGCGTTCATTATATATGATATTTGCATTTTCCTTTCTGCTCTAAACCTTCGTGGTTTTAACAAGCTTACACCGAAAAGAGCTTTGCAGAGGGGTACGTCCAGACCTATCTCCCAGACATCTACCAGGACTTTAAACAGCTGCTGCCGGTTTGGGGTCTGGATATGAGAGTCTCCTATCTTCCAAGAAATAAAGGGAGGGGGCCACCTCCAAGCTAGTTCAAAGTTAAGAAGTGACTGGAAGTTGTGAGCGGTTCTCTCCTCCTGCGCCCCACTGCCGATGGCATCGCTGAGCCCTGCGGATCTTAAGCGGCGCTTGTGGCTGAGTGTCAAGCTGCGGGCGCAGGCTCGGCCGGTATTGCTGCTATGCGCGGAAATATGAGTGAGTAATTTTATAAGTAACAAAGGATCAGGAATGGAATGAGGCCCCTGTTATCCAATGTCATTTAGAAGCCTTGGATCAGCAGCTTCTTGAGGCTAAAAGTGAATGCAAGAAGCCCTGCCTTTCCCTTTTCCCAGGAGTGTCAGCTATATTTAGAAATAACCTCTATGTGTTTGCACAAATCATGTACCATTTGCTGTTTGTGTAAAAACCGATTAGCCAGACACAACTGTGAAACAACTTGTTACTTTTATAGCTGCAACACACAAACAAATTTAGATCCGTTTAGTTTTCCTTGTAAAAGGAGATTAGAAGGTACCCGCCTGGAGACTGTGTGGTCCATACTCTCTTTTCCGTGAGGGTTACTGTACTCTTCTCGGTGGCGGTTACCAGGTTCTTGTTTATCAAATTGATCTCACCCCCAGCAGCCTGTTTTATTTTAGGACCCTGATCCAGAAGGAATGTTTACTTAGACACAATAATGTTTATCGTTTACCAGGAAAACAGATCCTGTATTTGTGAGGAAGGGTCTTCAAAGCGACTCCCTCCACGCCGACAGCAGAGAAGTAAGACTCGGATCGGAAGCATCTCCGCGAGCAGGAGGCAAGGCGGATGCCGGCGCCAGGGACCGTGGCCGTGTTTTACGTTTAAACAGGATGATCGTAGGGCCGAACTGACAGTATTGTCACCTGCTCCAGCTTTGAAAAGCGATTTCGCATAAGTAATTGTAACAGCTAAATTAATTACAAAATAATTAGAATTGATGCCATTTGAGGATATGCGGGTGGTGGTGGGAACCGGCCTCCGGAGTCTAGATGTTACATTTATACTTTAATACTTTTAAGGTTGCAACAGCTGATTTGAACATTAAAAATAATCTATGAGGCCATCTCCCCATTCCTGCTCTGTGATCTCTCATTTCACACTAACCTAGCCTAAGGTATATGTATCTTTTTTTTTTTAGTTAAAAAAAGGAGGGTGGGGAGTGATAGGCACCTGTTTTTAAAAGGGTATTAAGGCCACACTCTTCCCTGGCCTTCTGAAAGACTGAGGGTTGGAGGGAGAGGAGGCATCCAAAGGAACGCTTCGGGAACTGAAATTATGTTATGGATTGCCATAGGAAAGAGGTACCTTATTTGAAAATGTTCTTTAAGAATAAAACTATGTTTTATCAAGCAGGTTTATAGAATACAATTGCACTGCAAAATTCAAAATGCCATAACATACATTTAAAAATCAACGGGGTTTATTTATCTCCTCCACTTAGGCAGTCAAAATAAGTAATTTCAAAAACCGAAGATTTAAATGCTAAAATGAGGGATGTTTTGTAATTTACATTTTGGAAGGATAATTTTAATGATCAACACCTCTCATGTGGGAAATTTTCATTGTGTAATATGTAAGTCGATTTAAACATTTTAAAAAGATTTAAGTGTTTAGAGTAAGGTGTTTTTTTTTTTTAAATAGCTTATTTTATCTACAGAAATACCTGGTCATTTAGATTTAATGAATTGATATGAACAAGATCATTGCCCACATCCGGGTTTTATGTAAAAACTAAAAGAAAAATACTAATATGATTTGTTAGCATACTCTCTCCTTTCTCCAATTAAATTTTTCTTACAAATGATGAATTTGCCAACTTGTCAAATTTCTGGGAAAGATGTGATGCAAATGCCATTTTAAAACCTTGTCATTTGCCTCAGACACCTAAATGAAACACTAGGCTGAGCATTTTAAAAATTTATTTACAAAGTTGTGTACAACACGATGGAATAACATTTAGACCCATATATATTCATTCATATATAAACAGACTTTTATAATAGAATGACACTTCTCGCCTTTTGAAAATTTTTATATTTAAAATCTCCCAACGTCTCTATACATTATTTTTCTCACATAAAACTGTGGAGAGTGAACCTTCAAAAAAAATGAAAGTTCAGAGCTCTAAATCTACTGAATTCGTTTTTTTTCTTAAAAAAATAAAAACCCCAAAAGGAAAGTCAATAATTTTTATACAAATATGTACAAAGAATTTCTCTCCCATCCCCAAAGTACTGAGAGCAGGCGCCGTCAGGGTACATTTTTGGAAAATTAGGTTTTCGGTTTTACCTGTACGGAAAGCTATTCCCGGCTGGCGGGCGCGCGCTGAGAGTTTGCTCCGACAGCCTAGGTGTGCGCGAGAGGGTGGAGGCTGTGGAGGTCGATGGTGAGGGGTCGAAGGAAGGAAACGGAGGAGAGGCAGAGTCTAGGATTGGGCTTGTTGGCCGGGACCGGGGCGGGGCGCCCAGCCTGGAAGTGCAGCTGCCGCCTGGGCCCGCCGCCGGGCCCCGCGTCCCGGCCGCCGCGCGTCCCTATTGCGCTGGCCACTTGGCTTGCGCGGCGGCGGCAGCAGCAGCGGCGGCGGAAGCTGCGGGTTGCAGGAACTGTCCCGAGAGCGGCACGCTCAGAATAGGCGCTATGGTGGCCGTCGTCCGGCTCAGCGATAGTGGCTGGTGCGTGGCCATGAGCGCTGCTGATTGCACTGTCCCGGGCGGCCGAAGAAAGGACTGAGCAGCTCCCCCACCGCCCCCGGTGCCCCCAGTTACCCCGCCGCCACCAGCGCCCGCCGCCGAGCCGCCGGGCGCCGCGGGTCCCCCGCCGATGATGTTCTCGATGCTGAACGACGGCCGTGCGCTCGGCTCGGACTTGATGAGCGAGGCCGTGGTGCCCGCAGCGCCAGCTGTGCCCGCGGCGGCCGCGGCAGCGCCCAGGCTGTTAAGCTGAAGCTGCAGGCCGGGGCCAAGCTGGGAGCCAAAGGCAGCCGCTTTGCGCCCCAGCTCGCCCGAGGGCAGTAGCGGCACGGCGGGCGGCAGCACCGGGGCCACCGGCGGCAGCGCGTATGGATACTGGAGCGCCGCGGCCGCCGCTGCGGCCGCCGCAGCAGCCGGGTGCGAGTAGGCGCCCGCCGCGGCCGCCGGGTGCAGGCCGTAGGGGCGGCCGTAGGGCCCCGCGGCGCCGGCGGCCGCAGCCAGGCTGTAGGCGCCAAAGCTCTGCATCATGAGCGCCGTCTGCTCGCGCAGGTGCTCCTGCTGGTGGCGCTTGAAGCGTTTCCGGCGGCGCAGGAAGCTGCCGTTGTCGAACATGTCCTCGGACTGCGGGTCCAGGGTCCAGTAGTTGCCCTTGCCGGGGTTGCCCGGCTCGCGGGGGATCTTGACGAAGCAGTCGTTGAGCGAGAGGTTGTGGCGGATGCTGTTCTGCCAGGCGGGGAACTTCTCCCGGTAGTAGGGGAAGCGGTTGCTGATGAACTCGCAGATGCCGCTCAGGGTCAGCTTCTTCTGCGGGCTCTGCAGGATGGCCATAGTGATGAGCGCGATGTACGAGTAAGGTGGCTTCACCAGGCTGTTCTTGGGCTTGTTCGGGGTCAAACTGCCCGCCGCTCCGCTGCCCGAGCCGGGCCCGCCGCCGTTCCCACCGCCCTCCTCGCCGCCAACGCCGCCCACGCCGCCCTTGCAGCCGTCGGCCTCGGACGCACCCGCCTCGCCTCCTGGCCCCGCACCGGCTCCTGCCGCCTCCTTGGGCAATGCCAGGGGCTGCTGGTGCGGCGGCTGAGGCTGCCCATGGTGGGGTGCCGCCGGCGTCACCTCGTCCGCCTCGTCCAGGCGCAGGTCCGGCGGCCCCGCGGGGCTTTCGCAGCCGGCGTCGCTGTCCTTCTCCTCCAGCCCGTCGTCGCCCTCGCCCACCACATCGATGTCCACATCCTCGGCCGTCAGCACCGTCTGGCCGGACATGTCGCTGGCGCTGCCGCCACCGGAGAGGGTCATCCCTTCTCGGGGTTGGTGGCGGCTGTGAGGAAGAGCGGCGGGCAATGGGGGTCGACAGGAACTGCCGCCGAGCTCAGGGGAAGGGGGTTTGGGCGCCCCCGAAAGATGGGGTAATGGGAGAGAGGAAGGAGCGTTTGTGGCTCGGGGCCCTCCCGGGCTTGGCTCACACTCGGCGGCCAGGCATTGCGCGGCGAGGGCGCTGCCGTCTGCCCTCCGTGGCCGCGCTCCGCAAACTCCTCCTGTCCGCGGCGCTCGGTACTAGGCGCTCGCTGCCGCTCCCGGCTCCGGAGGCGTCTCCACGTCGCGCCCCCTCACTTCACCCTCTTTCTTCGGCCTCTGGCCCAGGCGTGGGGAGCAGGAGCTGTGTAGGCGGGCACGGGACACTGGGCGCTGAGCAGCTCGGGAGGGCGCGGACAGGGGCAACGAGGGGCGGGGGGTGTCAGGGACGCGGAAGCCCCCGTAGTCGAAAGTCCGGTTTTAAGGACTGGCCTGATAGATTACTTTCTACTTAAAGATCCAGCGGGAGGCGGGGCCACGTGACCGCGCGTGACGTCAGGGCCACGGCTGAGCCGGCCAAACTCAAGTTGGTTAAGGGAATTGTCAACAAAGGGACGAGGGACGCGCAACTCCGCGCTGCACCGTGCGCCAGCATCCCGCGGGCACCGAGGGCGCCCTGGCCTGCCCACAGACCTCAGCCTAGGCTGGAGCCCGGCGCGGGGGTCAAGGGAGCCTGTGGGAGTGAGTGAGGGAGAGTGGGTGTGAGCGAGTGAGGGCGTGGGCCTGGGAGTGTCCGCGGGACCTAGCGGCTTTTGCTGCCCTGCCCTCGCTGCGCCCTCTCCCTTGCCCCTTCCTCTTTTCTACCAACACTTCTTGGGCAGAGCCTGGGCAACTTAGAATGAGATTCCCATCCCCTCCCTCTTTTTAGAGAAAAACTTAGTCTGTTTTGTTTTGTTTTTTTCTTTTTAATTCTTTTAGCTCTAAAGAGGGAGGGCTGCACACCCAGCTCCGTTTTGCTAATTAGACTTAAGACACCCACCCATCCTCAGGGCTTATTCCGGGGGAAACACTTACTAAGGGGACGCGCTCTCCCTCCCCACAAAAACCTGACCACCGGCTTTGCTTTCTTGGCTCGAAATGGGTATATGTATGTATGTGTATGTATATATATATGTATATATATATATATACATATATATATATGTGTGTGTGTGTGTGTGTGTGTTTTTTCCCCGTGTCCAGAGCAGCATCAGCTGGGGCTTCCAAAGGTCAGAAAATGGCTATTGATTAATCTATTAGAATAGTTGCTGAGAGAAATAAAAACGGCGTACAATAACAGGGAACCTATAAATAAAGAAGCCATAACTAGCTGCTCCGAGTTGTTAAACGACTTAGCATGTGAAAAAATCGGAAATGAGGTCCTGGGGAAAGAGCCGAGATTGGCAGCGGCCCGGGTAAGTTGAGTGCGGCAGTAAAGAGGCTTAGGCCTGTAGATTAGACGCTGCGCCCGGGCTGGGACGGCAGAAGAACGCAGGGAGGCAGCGAGGTAGCTTCCCCGGAGGCTGGGCAGTTCTCCTGGGAGCCGGGGAGGCCTGGGGCATGTGGCAGGCTAGGCTCTCATTTGCTAACTAATGTGGATTCTTTCCTCTTAAGACTTAGATAAACCTTCCAAGATTTAACCTTCCTCGGAAATCAGCAGCAGAACCCGTGGAGGAGGCGAGGATGCGACCAGTGCACACCGAATTTCCCTGGCAAGGAAAGTCAGTGATGGTAGGAAAGACTGCAGATTGAGGGGGGGGGGGTACCCCAAACCAGCCCCAAGTGTATGGCATTGCTTGGGACGCATGGACCTTGTACTTCCAAATAGTGCTCCTGACCTGGTGAATCGGAGATAGGCCACCTCTTCCCTCCTGCATTTCCAGGCTGCCTCATAGGGAGCCGCAAGCCCCTGCCAGGTGTGGTGGGCTTCTGGAAACCAACCCGTCTGTCCGCGGAGGCCTGGGAAGGGAATGCCGGCCTCACCAGAGGAAAGTGCAAAAGGGGAGGGAGTCCGAGAGGAAATAATTAGTGAAATATTTGCAGAAGACGCTTGCAAATGGATTTAATTCCTTGTGGACAGTGGTATTCTGATTCCCTCAGTCAGTCTCTCTCACCTACAACCCCTTTTTCCTTTGGCCTAGACAACCCTCTCCCCGTCGGTAAACTTTATTATAGGCAGTGCAACACACATTGACTTTTCTCTCCATTAGGTAATTTCCTGGATATAACACTAGCCCATTGGCTCCCCACTTCGCAGGACGTTCCAGGTTGGGGCTAGGAGAGTGGGGGCAGTTACTCGATCCTGAGACACCTGTGAAACTTGAAGGTTTTTCTGTACCTAAATAATCCCCCGATTGCACCTGACCCTAAAATGCATCCCGAGTTGATTTCAGCAGCTGCACAGCTTTGCGGCCCACAGGCTCCGAACCGTATGCAAAGCCATCTAGACAGCCTCCTGCGACACCGACCAGGGTGGCGAGCTGGCCGCCCATTGCCCACAGCTGCAGAGGTCGTGGCTGCTACTGCCCGAATAACGCAATTATCACAAAAGGAAGGTTGGAAGGAGAAAAAAGAACACAAAATTTACAAATTTAGAAATTCCTTTTGCTCAGCTTCGGTTTCCAGCCCCAGAGGCTGGCGCGATCCGCGCAGCGCACTCCACCGTCAGCCTGGGCGGCTGGCGGGCTGGGCGGGCGTGAACAAGTGCACACGTGTGCGCGCGGCGGAGGGTGGCAGCTCCAGGGGCAGCCCTCCTCGGTCTTCTTAAAGTAGCCTCTGAATGAGCCTAATTTCGATTCCGCTGCCCGCCAGGGCTGGCTCTCAGGACTCCCTCGGCGCTGCTGGTCGCTGCTTCTCACTTCTCCCGGCCGAGACCTAGCCGGATCCGTCCATTCCCCGGTGTCTCTTTTTTGTAACTTCCCTGGGGGAAGGGGTGGGGGATGAACAACTCCCAGCCGCCAGTTCCATTTGTTGCGCTTTTTTCCTTCGACACAATAAAAGTCAAATTAATTGATTCATACCATTAATTACGGCGCCTAGCGTGAAAAGCAACGCTTCCCCTTGGTTAGAGATCTATTGTGCTAATCTCTTGTTCAATCAGTGTTACCATCTGATGCTGGGTCTGGCCCTTACAGAAACTTTTCGACTCGATTAGCTAAATGATGAGACGTACAGGACCTACTGGCTGCGGCCTCGATGTCTGGCGCCGGCGCTGGCCCATCCGCTTAATATCGCTTAATATCGATTCCAGTGGAGGCAGCGGGTTTTCCCGCTGCCATTCTCCGCTGGGGAACCCACCGCGGCTTTCCTTCTTCCGGGAGGGTTGCAGCACCAGCGCGAACTCCCGGGGAGGGAAGGAGGTGAAGCAACAGCTCAGGTGGGAAGAAGGAAGGTCGCCTTAGGGGGAAGGGCCCGGGCGGAGCCCGACGCGGCTCACGGACCTGCCCTAGGCCGGCTAATCCCAGGCTAAGTAAATCCTGTTTGCCGAATAATTGCATTTTGTAGCTAAAAGCCCGCAAGTCGTCAGCTACCGCCAAATTTAGGCAAAAGAGGGATGGACGAAACAAGACAGATGCAGAAAATGACAGTATTGGAGCGAGGAGAAATGTGATAGAGGGAATGGAAATATTGGGGGGAGTGAAATGTGGATCTTTATTTCCTGAGTCGCAGAGAGTTACTGGGGGAGGTGGAAAGAGGGCAGAGTACACACATGCACTATGAGCGAGAGTGACTACTTGGGCCACAAGCAAACTTCCCAGGAGGGATTTAAAGAAGATGGAAGCCAGCTGTCTCACCTGTTCAAATGTTTGAAACGGTTCAGCCGAAGGAGAATGGAATGAGGCTTCTCCTGGGCCGGGCAGAGCCGGTGGTACCCAGCTGGGGAAGCCACAGGACGGGCCGACGGGGCCGGGGGTTGGAGAGGGCGGTGGAGGGGAACGAAGGTTGGTGGGGGTGATGGAGGGGACCGGGGTCCTAGCAACAGGAAACAGGAAAAGTGAAGTCCGGATCGATAGGAAGGAAATTGAGACGTCTCGGGGGAGGGGAGATTTTGTGAGCGTTCTGGGGGATGAGATGTGGGGCGGGGCGGTGGGGGGGGGGGGGGAGTGAATGGAACAATTTATGACGGAGAAGGGGAAATTGATTACAGCTCAATTTGGGCTCTTAAGTGGTCAACACGAAGGAGAGGCGCGGCCAGAGTGTGCTAGAGGCGAGAATGGCCCGACTACCCCTCGCCAGGCCAGAGTAAGCCCAGCTACTCTCTTCCTCCTCCTCTAAGCCAGAGACTATGCCAGTGGCTTGCAAAAGTCGTTGGTCCAAAATGAGATAGACTCATGCCTGCACGCGGGTGCACTTTTCTTAGAATCGGGGGGGAGATGGGACCAGGTTCTGCCCAGTGAGGGGCGCGTCCCCCAGCGAGAGCAGCCACCCGCTATTGCAGAGGAAACAAAACGTGGGTGGAGCCCATTGGAAATGAACCCCGCTTCTCATCCCCCAAGAACCAAACTCTGCTCCTTCTTGACAATCTTCATAGGTTTGTTAAGCTATTATTATCAGCCTCTGCCTGGATGGCTGCCACCGAGGGAGGTGGAAAGCGCTGAGATGATGTCCGGGTCCCCAACCCACCCAGATTATTTCTATTTCCAAGTGGGTAGCATTTTCAACTCTCTACCATCACTTATATAGCTCTCCAGATCTCATTGGGGTTGTGTGTATGGGGGTGGGGGGGAGCTAATTTAATGTTCTTGTTTAGATTTGCATCTGAAAACTTCAGTTATTTTCAGGGTGTCTGCTATTCAGAGCCCACGCCAATAAGTTCCTGTAAATGGCGAGAGACCAAAGGGAAAGGAGACAGGAGACAGGAGACAGAGGATGGTTTGGAATTTATTTATATTGGAAATGTATAAACATCCATTCTGTAAAAGGCAACACGTTTAATTAACGATGAGAGAGCAGTTAGGGGCAGGAAGCTAGTAAAATTGTGTGATAAATTTATGGCATTGTTAGCGTGCTTTTAATTATGGCTATTATGTTAATTATTTCACATTAGCATGGAGTTATCAGCAGCATGTCAGATTTAATCAAAACGAGCCTTTCTCTCGAAAATTGTTCTTTTCATCCGCGAGGAGAAAGGTCTTGGGCAGGACTGGGGCTTAAAAATGACTTGGCATTGAAAGCTCGCATCTTTCCGACACGGTTTGG